AGACTGAAGGATGGATAATTCTTGATAAATTACTTTAGTTCCTGATTTTTTTTCACGTTTACATTTAAATTGGAGAAGCGCTGATATTTCTTACTTGTTTTTAGCTTCCAGCAGCTGAGTAGCTGTTCCCCGTTAGCAGTGCACTTTGAACAGCATTTGTTGGTAAGAGAGTCTAACGCCTGGCAGAACAGCATTTGTTTCTGAGGCAGGAGTACTTCCTTTAAAATAGGGTGTCTTTTGTGTTCACTTCTGTGCAACCAACCCCTCTGTATGTGTTATTTCTGTAAATCCAAGATTTAGCTCAAGACTTTGGTAGGAAATGCTGTTGGACAGCTGTTGGCATACATATTTAAAAAACAAACACCCCCCCCCCAAAAAAAAACCCCAGAAAAAAAAGTACTTTGATTTTTTACTCAACATCTCTGCTTTGTTGCTAAATGACTCTGAGTTTAGCATTTTTTTTTCCTGTTTTTTTTCCTGTTTATTCTTAGGTGTTGTAATATATACCATTTGATCTGCTTTTTATGCAACTAACGTAATGTTAATACCAAAGTGTTTTTCTTTTTTAATGAATGTTCTAAAATGTGCAGTATGAAATAAGTTAGTTTAAAAAATAGCAATGAAACAAACTCGTTCCAAAGTCCTGTAAGAAACAGGTTAGTATGGAATCAAAAGTTACTTCCTTTTTGATTTGTTCTTTCCATTCACCAATTTTAGGCTCTTCTGAGGAGTTAAAGCAATTTGGCTTATTCTGTCCAAAAATTACCCTGATATTGCTGTCTGGTTTGCCAGAAGTGTACCAAGTTATAGCTCAATTTTCCTTGATGCCTCTGATGAAGAGGAAGGGCTGAGCTTTCCCAAACCTGAAGGTTTTGTTTCGTATGTGGATAGATTTATTTCCCTTGTCTTGCTTGTAATCACTTTTTGTTATAAATGCATGTGTTCTTGAAATATAAAGCATTCAGTGTTAGATTTCCCATTTTCACTAGTTAGACTGCTGCATAGGCTGAATCGCTACTGTTTTGCTCACAAGGATCTGCCACCTCTACTAGAGTGCCTGTCAGCTGGAAGAGGACAGGGGAAGCGTACATGTCAAAGATGATTGAGAGAAGGCTGAATGGAAGGAAAAGAGACGGATGAGGAAGTTGGGACAGATTGATTCTGCTACACAATCAATTTCCTGTATTAGGTTTAGCAGTAAAAGGCAGCTCTTACATTGTGTTTATGCCTGTACAGCCTAATGACAAGTTCTGTCCAAGTGACCAAAAAAAAAAGACTTCTGTCAGCCTGAAGTTCTGCAGTAGTTACTGGTCGTCCCAGGGCTACAACATCATCTCTCACCAGGTGTTACTAGTTACAGCATTGCACAGAGGGCCACTCTTTCATTAAAAGTCCTCCAAAAATTGCTGATCAGTATCTTCATCCCTACTGATGCTCCTCACCATTACTGATGGCAGAGCTGCAAAACTTGCAGCCAGAATTGCTTGTTGTAGTGGTAGGTGGCTTGCACCTCCTTGCCAAATACATATGTTGAGAACACTGTAGTTGGAGTACTGTTTCATGCACAGTGATCTGCTAGGAGTGAGAAACAGTGAGCAATGAGATGACAAGAGAAGAATCATGGAATATTTAGTTTGGTCCCTTGAACTTGAATTCAAGTTAAGTTCTGCTTGACATCCCATTGTGTATACAAAATCAGTCCCCTCGTCTGTACAACTCTCTGACAACTACCTGAAAGGAGGGTGTAGTGAGGTGGGTGTTGGTCTCTTCTCCCAAGTAGTTAGTGATAGGACAAGAGGAAATGGCCTCAAGCTGCGCCAGGGGAGGTTTAGGTTGGAGATTAGGAAAAATTTCTTCACGGAAAGGGTAGTCAAGCATTGGAACAGGCTGCCCAGAGAGGTGGTGGAGTCACCATCCCTGGAGGCGTTCAAAAAACGGGTAGATGTGGCACTTCGGGACATGGTTTAGTCTAGTCTGCCCTTGATTGGCTTAGAGTGGACTTGGTAGTGTAGGTTAATGGTTGGACTGGATGATCTTAAAGGTCTTTTCCAACCTAAACGATTCTATGATTCTAACTAACCATCAGCACAGCAAGTGATACCTGCCCAAAATACTGGGTAAACACAAATCCTTCACGTGTTTAGTAGTAATATGTTAAAGTGAACGATGATTTTGCGTATGGCTAGTGCATGCTGGTTAGAACAGAGCAGGTGCAGGCTGTGTTTTTCACTAGAAGTTGTAATCAGCAGCTGATGAGCACAGCCTTGAGTGAGGCAGGCCAGTGAGTTTATCCCTTAGTGCCGCAGAGCATATAGGGTTAGGTTTTGCCTGTAATGTGGAAAATTCTGTGTATAGTCCAGTAACAGGGAAACTGTGCAATTTAATTGTATTTATTAATGCTGAAAATTGTTTCTGTGGTAGCCTGTTGCTGGAATGCTGTATTGTTAATTGAGACTTTTAGCTATGGATATTAATTTTCCAAAAATACATTAAAATATCCCTTTAGTGGTTAAACAGCTTTTTCTTTGAAAGTTGTGTTGTTTTGACAAAGAGTCCTGGTGTTTAAAATGCCATCTGGATCCAATAATATGTCTCAATTGGGAAGAAACTCTTGTCTTGCAACAAACTTACACGCTCAAGAGCTGTAGGAAGTCCCATCCCTGCAGGATCTGTAACACAGTCAACATCTTTCCTCCCCTGAAAAATGCATGGCAGTGCTGCTCCTTTGTAATGTGAGAGGCCACTGCTGAGCAATACAAGGCACCTGCTCATTCCTAGGGGTGAGTGTACTTTATTTCAAAGTATTTCTGCCAGTTAAAGTAAAGCAAAAGAGCACTCCAGAACTAAAAAGCATTTTGAAAGATCCTTTTCTGTTGCAGTAAGTCTCTTTTTTAATATGCGTATTAACGGTTATCTTGAATAATGTGAACGCTTATCCAAAAGAAAATGAATTGCAGATATGTATGTGATGTAATCATATATCTGAATCAAAATACGACTACTGCAGTAAGCTGGTAAGTGCTGCAAAATTCATGCCCTGTCTGACACAATCTAGTGTGTGACTGGAAAAGAGAAAAAGGTTTAAACTTTGCTGCTGATACTCAGTATTTCCATTAAAGTCCAGAATAAGAAAAAGATAGAAAAGGGCTACAAGATAAATGGAAAGAATCTGAGTTTGTGTTTTTCTTATTTTCTTGATGACTGCAGTTGCTGTCTGCTATTCCAACTTCCCCCAGATTTCTTTTGTGGCTTTCAAAGTTGGTTCATATAAAGCATAAATTGTATGAAGTTCTCTAAAAGTTTTCTTCTGCATTGGAGCTCTTAAACTAGAAGTCAGACAAATATCTACGAAGACAAACAGTAGCTACAGATAAGCTGCCGTTAGCCAGGAGTCAGATCAGAATCCATTTTATTCAGAATCTGGGAGTGTGGCCCAATTCAGTGTCTTAAATCAATCTATTATATAGTGAAGCCTGGAGCTGTGAAGTACAGAGCTTGATTTGGTTCTGATTTTGCCCAAGATACATATGTTCAACTGAGTATTTTGGATTTGTTTTCCAGGGTTTTTTTTTTTTTGTCTGATTTCTCTCCCCCACCACCATCCCTCAGCTACTCAGTCCAGACCATGTCTGACATGAACACTCAGTGTGGTGGGAATGAGAAACAGTCACTGAACTGTATTGCTCTTATAACTAGAAGGCCAGAAGAAACCACAGAGGGATTTTGTGTCCAGCACTTTAATTAGAGAATCTTGTTTTCTTAATTATGGAAGAAACTCAGAAGCCGTGGTAATGGGGAAAAAATTCTTTTTTTCTTTTTCTTTTTTTTTTTTAAACTTGTGCTCTTATTATTTTTCTGTGTTGAAATAGGATACCTAATGTTGAGGTTGAGGTTTATGCCCCTGTTATTCATGTATGTGATATTGCCTACAGAAAGAAATGTATTTCAATATCTTTCCCCTCTTTTCCTTCCCAACTTTGTCATGTTATTTTTCAGCTTTTTATTGATGCTACACTTAAATATTTTATTTGGACCACCTGGTTTTATATAGCAGAGATTTTTTGCTTGATAAAATCATGTGACCTTTTAAACACTGAGTTGGAGGAAAGAAAAATCTAGATTTAAACATAGAAAAATTGAATGTTCTAGCCATATTTCAAGAAGTTGCACCGTTGCAAAATATAAATAGATACTGCTTTTTTACCTTCAGTATAGGCCTGTATTTTTAAAATTTGGTTTATGCTTACGTATGTTATGATGTGTAATTGAATACTGTGTGCCGTAAGATTGCCCTTCTGACACTGTATCTCTGGCATTAAGTTTTTCTGATTTTTAGGTGGGAAATGTTGCATGTGATCATGAAATCTCTAATATTTCCTAGAGCCTGATAGATCCAAAATTCTAGGAGATTTTTTTCTTGCAGTGTTTCAGCACTATTTCTTGCAATCCCATTAGGAAGAATGTACCATGGAAGTAAGTTGCAAGGAAAAAAAAAAGTTTTGTTTTCAGATGTTGCTTCATTCTGAGGTTGTTTTTATTAAGGTCTCTTATTCTGGGGCCTGATTCACCTTTCTGAAGTAGAGAGCAGTATGTGTATGGCAACCAAAGAAAGAACAATAATTCTAGTAAAACGAAAAAACACTCTTCTGAAGTCAGTGATCCCTTTCAGTAAACTATTTGGTTACGTGGCACTTTAGGCTTCATGAACTGTTCAGCAGCTGGGTTTCTCTCTTTTGGGACTAACCTGTACCAAGCTTTATATCTCTGTCAAAATGAGATGATGTTTATTTTTCCACCTCTGTCTTTGTGGTCAGCTGTACTTCATTTTTAAATAGCACTGCCTGCTTTTTTAATAGCTTTATCTTTTCTACAGATACGTTTATTTAATGACCCGTTAGATAACTTCATGGAGACATACAGAAAGAATATGAATGAAAATATGTCAAACCTTATTCATTTAGCAGAAAAATAAAATGTATCTTCAGATGTAACTATGAATACTGGTCACTTCCTGGTTTGAAATAACCAATTCTCTTCCAGGGTGTTCCAGAAGATTTGTTGTTTTTTTATGAACATATCCAAAAGGGCGGTGAAGTCTTTCGAGTAAACCATTGCCTCCTGCTGTACCGTTACCATCCACAGGCTGCAACACATTCCGTCCTAGAGTAAGTTGCATTTTTTGGTAGAAAATTAGCTTCATCTCGGATGATTGGCAGCAAAAATGCTTAATCTCTTCAAGACATCACACAGCAAAATAATTACCTTGTTGCGTTTAATTGTTTGGCGCTTTTTTTTGGTGTTTTTTTTTTTTTAAAAAAAAGGCTAAAAAACAAGCATAACATAATACGTTGGTAGTATCCTCTTTTGATGGTGAAAGGTTGGTTTTCTGTTCGTTCTTGCTATAATTTTCTTTTGAGTAACATACTGTAGCACTGGAATTGAAATTATGAATTGAAATCTTTGGTTTGGATACTGTTGCCCATACGCTATCGGTGTACCTGTGTTAATGACTTAGGCAGGGATGGTGTAGGGGCATTTTAACATTTGACAAATATTCTAAGAAATTGTTTCGTCTTTGCAGCTGTTCTTGAAATGATTTCACAATAGGTATTGTAAGAGCAATGCAGCATTTTGGGGACTGCGTTACAGTAGTAGTGTTTTCTCAACTTCCAGTTAGCATCGCTTTGGCTGAGGCTGTAATTGATCACGTGAGGTCTCGTAATCTGCCTGAATAAGCTCTCTGGTTGTTTAAAGCATCCGAGTTTCTTACCCTCAAAGCAGATTAAGAATACTTTGTATGTTTATGTATTTATCTGCTGGACATGGCAAAAGCAAGCAGTGAAGTGGTAACTTTTTCAATACTTGGAACATCATTGCAAGAACGTGTTTGAAATATATCCTAGTGGTGAAATTTTATTAGAGCTTTTAATTAGTTTTTTTAATATGTGAGGTTTTGATTCTCATATTTTTTGCCATGTGAACTATAATGTAAAATGTATTTTTTTAATTTTAAAACTTAATTTCAAAATGAACTGTCTCAATTTAAAAAAAGTAAACAGAAACTTGTAATACCAACAAAAACCTTCTTTTGAAAAAAAATAATAAAACCTAAACCTTTCATCTGATAATGTGCTTCATTTACATATATTATTTTCCTATTTTACAAGGTCTAAACCATCTAAATCAGAAAATGAGGCTTAAAAATACCTGAGGATGTTTAGAAGTAATTATCTCAGGTGCTTCCTTGTAAGCTGTTGCCTACTGCTTTTACAGTGCTGATCTGCCCTTAAAGAAAATGTTAAATTGCCAATTGCTGATTCCTCTACATGCTCATTTTACCCATCAGAGGTGTTCTTTGTGATCAGAAGTCCTGCAAGCTGAGCCAAAGTAATTTCTTTCTCTTATGCATTGACATTAATGAAAAATTATGCGAGGTTTACTGTCCTTTAGGAGTCCCACACCAGAATCGCAGTGGTAATTAAGTAAATGGTTTTCTTACTGTTTAATGATATAAAGATACTTTTCAGTCAGTCCTATTTGTATAGCTTTGTAGAACTGACTAGTAAAACTAAACATTTTTATGTGCATTTTAGTTGTATATCACTATATTATTGCGTTACTGTAAATACTGTAGTCTGCTAGCACAAATATCATGCTTGTGGTTAAATGTCACTATGGATTTTATAAATACATATATGTATGTATGCATATGTATATAAAAATCATTTCACTCTGAAACAGTCATTCCAAGCAAATAGAAGATATTCTTTGGATTTTAGAATCATAGAATCGTTTAGGTTGGAAAAGACCTTTGCAAACAAATATGAGGTAAATTATTTTTCTTTTTATTGGAGTTTAAATGTAAGGGTGGTTTTTTTTCTTTTTTAGTGTGTGATCATTTTGGCAGTTAGTTACAAAATTTTCAGCCATGCATCATGGGATGCTAGAACTCTTGGAAGCCTGTTGCTTGTATCTGTGGGAAAACATCTTATTCTTGGAAATGAGTTTGTTTTGAATTTACTGCAAGCTGTTGCTTATTCAGATCTACAAGGTTGTGTGGCACAAGCACCCTGAATTACAACATACTGTGAGAATGTGGAAATACTGTAAGCTGTTTCAGATGTGCAGTTCGCATGTCCAAATTGGCGCCTTTCTTGTCTCATTCTAAGAAGTCAGGCTAGCCATTCTTCCTGTTGGCTTTTGCTGGTACTACTGTTAATAATGTTTTGTGCAAACTTTCAAATATGAGGTTGTGTAACATCTCTTCTTATTGGCTTGTTTCCTGTTTGTTGCCTAAGTTGTGAAGGGTTGGCGAGCATTTGTTTCTAAAGACTGAGGTGTGCATATTGAGCAAAAAAAGGTTAATGGACTCATCACAAAGGTTTAAGTTTTAAATAATTTAAACTGGGTCTTTCCTAGTTTGCTTTTTGGTCACCCCACCTTATTTGATGTATGTTCTACCTTTTCTAGAAGTCTCTTTCTTTTTTATGGTGTGTTTTGTTTGAGCAGTTCTCTGTGGCATTTTGCCTTTTGCCATTGGCCTACGTTGTCTTTGAATTTTCAGAGTTAGCCTAGACCTGGATTTAGAAGTAGTAACTCACCAACCAGATTAATATCTTGTCTGAGATCAAAATGACGCTTGTAGGAAAGTTGACTTTTTTTCTTTTTTTTAAATGGTTTATGCCTAGTTTCAGTCTTAAAAAATAGAGCTGGTTAATAGGACTTGTTTATACAAAGGTGCATAATTCAATCTTTTCAGCAAAGACAACAGTCGCTTCTAGCCTATTATGGGCTGATTTTCAGTTTATACGAGTGTCTTCCATTACTGTTCAGGGGAAAAAAATGCCTGATTTTGCTTTTTCAGACTTCCTAAAATATATATGAAACTACTTGGCAAGCGACATTTAGTTCTTTTTATTTAGCATGTATAATTGTAAACACTAATGATTTTTAGGTCATTTCCTATGATTAGTATCCTTCTGGAACAAGTATCTAGAGGTGAAAGTATCTGTGAAGTAGGAAACAAAAACTTATTTGCATTCTCCCTTACCCTGGAGGCATCAGACTGTGTTATTAAATGTTTTGGGTGTATGACAGAATCTGAATGAAGTACAGTCTATATTTAGATTTCATTAGGTGCATACAGAAATATAAACATTCTCATTGTAATTTCATCTAAAGTCTATGATGGATACCTGCTAAATGTGAATGAGCAATACAAGTTTTGAGAAACTTCTCTTCAGCCAGGAATTTACAACACAAAATCCCACGTTTTGTATCTCTTAGATGTAAATCATTTTATCTCACATTACAGCTTGTATCCTGGGGCTGTGTGTACTTTGTGCTACATAGCTACATGACACTGATTTGATACAATACCAGAGCTGGCTTTATAGTGAGAAGTACTGTAGTAAGAAAGTTTGGTGTATAATAAAAACATTGTAAAATTCATAGATTTTTATCTTGCCAAAAGGGAGAAAAAGGAACTGTATATAAAACAATGTATCTCATTGCGAGATAAATGTCAGCTTGGAACAAGATGAGCAATAAAACATTGTACATGTCTTTAGGTACTGTTGCTCATGAAGACAGGCAGTTGGAGCAGGTAGCTAATCTTTGTAGCAATTTACAAGCTTTTGGTCAAGAGAAATTTAATATACACAGAAAATAAGGTTCGTACCTTCCCTCTGAGATCCAGGTGATTCCCTTTTATGCAGAAAATGTGAAGCGTACTTACAAAGCTTACAGTAATTTCATATGCTGTGTATTCAGAATGAGTATAATATTGTAAGAGCTTGTTCTGCATAAATAACCCAAATTACGTAATCTATTGAAACCATCTGGTTTCAGGCACTAGAAGCTTCCAGCGTCATCTAAGCAAAGGCGAACAGGCACTTAGTCTGAAACACACATTTGGTTGTTTTAGAGGTACTCCGAGGCATGGGTTTCGTATCACTGATGAGTGCAGGAATGCCTGCTTCATTTCCTGCAAAAACATATGCATCCAAAAATAGGCAGGAGAGAGGAATAGCGTAACATATTCCTGTACAACTGAAATAAAGATGAGGTCAACTGCATTTTTATCTTCTATGCTTGCATTTGGCACTTCAATTAAACATGGAAACTAATGACCTCATTAGATTCTTGAAAAGTAAATGGCATTAACATTGATAGTCTCTGTCTTTCTTAATAAGCCTTTCATGAAAAACAGGCCACAATGCAAACCATGCCTCAGTTAATGACCCATGACCTGAAGATGAACTCAGACATTAATAGAACCTATTAACAGTGTAAATCTAGTAACTCAGTGGGACGATATAGTCCAGCAATTAATAAGTTCACATGAAGTTCAACAGAACAACAACGACAAAAAAAATCAGTTTATTCACCAGTATGGTCAAGGTTCAAATGGGATTCATTTCTGAATTTCCTGTGGATTGTAAGGACCTTGAATTCTGCATGCAGAACTAGCTATAAAGCATCTGTGCTCTCAGCTCTCACTTGTGATTAAAAAGTTCTCTGTTCTTCCATCTCTGGATTATCTATCAGGTGAGATTCACCTATAATATAAAACTCTTACTATCCTGCCATGAATAAAAAACAACTGGAAGAGGCCGTTCACTTGAATAACTCCTCTTTCTGTCTGGTGTTACTTGAGTACTGTGCAGGACCAACGTATATAGAAAAGGTCAGATTTACAGATTTATAGTATTACTGCGGATGGTAATCAATGCCCAAAATTCCAGTACTGTTCAGGATATTGGGCTTGTATTTGTGCACTTCTCAAGTACTTGTACATCTGTCTGCTCTGTTGATTCACTTATGTAGCCTCACTGGGGGAAGGAGGGGAAAGGCAGTCAAACAATATGGCGAGGTTTAACTGAGCTCAGACATTAAATCATATAGCTTTTATTGTCACATTATCTTTCATTTCAAAATAGGAGTAGAGCAGATGTTTCTTGACTCCTGTATCCAGTCAGTAGGTCACCACACATTTTAACAGAGCTCCATTGTTATATTACTTGGGTGGATGGTATGGTCATAACTAGTTGGGACTGAGGAACACACTTCGTAGTCATTCTCACCCGCTGCATGAATACCCTCATTTCACTCCTGCAGAATTTTGGCTCCTCTTCTTCCTTCCAGACTACATAACTGATGAGTATTGAGGGGCCACAGCAAGTGAGATCTTAGGAAAATTATGGAAGCCTCTAGAATGGTTTTCCAAGTAGAAAAATGTATACTTCTTACCCTGCTTTTGTAAAGTAAAAAAATGGCAAGAAGATGAAAGAAATGCGGAAAACAATATACTTCAAGAATTTGGGTCAAGGAGGAGTATTAGGATGTGGGAACCACCTTCTACAAGCAAAAGAATTTGTATCCCACCTTCTGACTGAAGGCTAGGAAAAGATACGAAAGGCTACTGGGAAAGGGCTTATTTAATCCTTTCTGACATGCATAGGAAAAGCAGCCTTGATTTGGGATGATGCAGAGTAGTAATACCTCCTAGTTTTTGCTGGTGGCTATGAATATGTAATAATGCAAAACCTGAAAATAGCTGTGAGAATCATCTCTGAGTAGTGGTTTGTACAACTTCTAGATCGTTTCAGGCATTTTCTTTAATCATCCTTTGCACGTTGCTACAGTTCCCGTCTGTTGCACCTGCACTGGCTCTTAAAGGATGGGAAAATGGCGTTCCCTCATCCCTCAAGGCAGGAATCCCAGTTATCTGTTCTGGAAACATCAAAAAATGTGGCAAATTAGGTGAACCGGAAACCTGAAGGGGATAACTGAAACTCTCTCTGTTGACACTCTGTAAGCTACCTTTTGCTTCAACATGTGAGATATATTGTTTGTGCAGGCACGTTTTTACAAAGATTAAGTCTGTGGTTGTCACTCTAAAGCTCGATCACAAATTCTCCCCTCAGTTCTGTATTCATCTGATGATCTCAGCTTGTACTGTTAAAAGTATTTCAAGGTTAAGTCAAGACTGCAAAGTGTTTGATATAACTTTAAATTTTTTTCATTAAAAAGGGCACACACAATAATGGGGATGTGATTTTAAAACACTCTTCTGTGAGCATTTTCATAAGAATGATGCAAGCTAAAAATCACAAGTGCTGAGTATATTGGCTTCATTTTCACAACCCAATATAGGTACTTAAGAGAGCCATTTATTGGTGTTTAAATGAAGCTGTCTGACAATGGTCTTGTATTTGAACAGTGATCCAATTAATTTGGAGTTTAATGAATTTCATATCCTTTTATTTCTGAGTGCAATTTCCTTAAATACTTTCTGCACTTGCATTTCTTAATGTAACATTCATAGATAAGGTTGGGTCAGTAAATGTGCTTCCGTCTGGAATCCTTGTGGGTGATTATGAACGAAATTTGGTCTGCTTGAATTTTACCTCTATAGGGACTTCTGTGGAATATAGGCACCCATTACCTAGACAACAAATACATACTCTCTGGAAGCAACCAATGCTAAACGTACCGGGACGTTTCCATGACTAATAGAAACATTTTCTGTGTGCCTGGATGTAGATTCTAGTGTTTGCCCTACAACTACAAGTTAGTTGATAATTCTTTTTATGCCTTGTAAGGTTGCCTATTTTTTCCTTAGCTTTCCGAACTGCAAACTCAAGTGGAAAAAAAAACTTGCCTTTGTCACTCAAGTCAACAGAACAGATTCTGAAGTACCTCTGGAATGTAATACAGTGTTACCCTTCAGAAGTCACATTTCAAAGCAAAATCAGTTTTAAAACCTTTCCATTTACGTGTAAAGCAATAATGTTCCTTTTTAGAAGCTAGCAGAAGCTCTAAAATTTCCAGTAAAGTGATCCTGGAAAAATACTTGACCTTCATATTTCTTTCCTTTAACTTTCCTTCTGGGAATATAGTGTGCTCTAATGAACATGGAAAAAGGCAAGTGTCAAAGGATGCCAGCAGCAGCTAAGGCTTTGCAGGAGGAATGCGGCTTGTGGTTGCATTAGAAGAGATTTGCAATCAAATCCAAGATTTTTTTTTTTTTTTTTCTTCTCCGTTAGTTGAAGTGCTGGTGCACGGCCATAGTCTTCAAAATGGTGTGGAAATTTTGTATGGACTAACTGTTCTTCTTGGGTACATTTACTTGTGTGTGAAGCTCTTTCTAAGTTATCACACCACAATCAATGATGAAGTGCTAAGCAGGATTTGGCTGTGCTCAAAAATCGCATGCTGAAGTGAAGTGGGCTCTCTGGAGCTAACTAATAATCCCAGCAAGAATCCATATGTCTTACTGCTACGGGGGTTTCATGTTTTTCAAACCATAGCTCAGGGATGTGAAGGAACAACACAAAATTCCTCTCAGTAAAATATTAGAAAAGTTTGCTAACAAACTTCTGGAAACAAGTTAGGTTACCTATTAACCCCAATAACCTCAGATGTTACACTGGTACCTCAGAGGTATACTTCATAAGAATAATTTGGAACAATAAATTTGGCTTTGTGAGATTTGATAATCCGTTACAAAAAGGAAAAATTTGAAAATGTTTCATAGAAGTCAGATGTTACTGTAATGCCAGATCATCAGACATGTCTAGTGGTCATACTTATGTATTTACAGTTTTGTAAGAGAACCAGAATTGGCGTAATGCATACAGGATTACGGAAAATTGGAACTGCAACTAGGAGATGGAGCAGTTTGATTCATTGATGAGAATGACCAACAACAGCATAGCTGTAGCAGCCTCTGTTCCTGACTCTCTACCCACTTGGACACTTTAGATTCTTAACATCAAGGAAGCCTGAATGGATTTTGATTTTTCTATAAAATGACAAGCTGCACTTGCAGACCAGAAGTAGCTTGCTGTAGCTGCCCAGTGATAACCTCTGCTGACTCATGAATCAGAAGCCTTATGTGAAGCAGAAGAAATAACGTGTTCTTTAAGTATGTTGGTGTTTGAATTCCATACCAACTTGATATAGTCAGATGACTGCAGGGCTCAAAGTTGAACTGTGAAGAAGGTATATTGGTAGGAAGAAATATGTGCTTCCCAAGACAAAGAAAACCATAGGCAACTTTAGGATCTCACAGGCAAATTACTAGTTTTTTTCCATTAATGCTTTAAGTAATTTCAGCATCTAATTTCTTGGATCACAAGATGTATTACAAATTGTAGAACAATTTGTAGCAATTGTTCTGAAGTGTATTCTGTCATGATAAAGCAAATAGAAAAACCTGTTTGAAGAAATGCTTTCAGAAAGGAAAGACAATTAGGTGTTTATCAGTATTTCCTATGAAAGAAATTTTCAACTCAAGGTGCCTTGTTCAAGAGATGTAGATTAGGAAGATTCGTCTGTCAAGCCATAAGTTGAGGAAATCAATTTATTGCATCTAGAAAACTATTAAGTATGAGATAGGTTCCTAGTTAATGAATATTAAATGAACCCTGGACATAAAACAGATGTTCTTAACAGCAGGCAGTTTTCTTTAAAACATTGTAAATGGTGTAGTCTTAAATATTACATTATAAGGATTATAGGGTGGGAATTGCTGTTTTAGAAGTATACCTGATTGAAAGTGATGGGAAATGTGCATACTTGCACGTGTGCACACACACACAAACACACACGAAAAAGAAATTGTAGTTGTCAAAGTGAATTTGACAGTTGGGAGGAATGTTCCATGAACAAAATGCTTTCCCTGACGTTGTCTTCTCTTTCAGAGAACCTATCTTGAACTTGCTGAAAATCTCGGTAGGTCTTCAGTATTTCAAGATGTTAGGTGTTCCCTTGTTACTGGTTCCAAAGCCATGTGGCATCGTTTGGTATTAGCCTTACAGTTGTTTACCTCAACTGCTTGGCTTTGTATTATTATATTATATTGTGGAACTTACTACAAACATAAAGACATAAAGGTGTAATTGGACACAGATATCTGCCAGCTTGCTTTTTTTCTAAAATGTATTTTAAGAAGTTTTATGAGGCATACCACTTCTTCCAAAAAAAAGAATTTCCACTGCTCTTTGTTTCTAGAAATGCTGTTTCTTATAAAAGTAATCTTCAAATAAAGGCACAGTCACTGCTGAATAGTACTTTGGAACCTTTAAAATTGAATCACTCTTACTTGGTCTAAAGTGTGTGTGCGCGCACATTCACAAGTGTGAATGGTGTGTAACAGCCAGTAGCTTGTGTTGTGCGTGACTTGGCAGTTCAGTGATTGTTGCTGTATGGCTGTCCACTGATTCAGAGCTTTGAAAACTGACTTGTTGAAGACTTGAGCTGAATACCTCATCTAAATGGACTTTCATTGTAACTATTGGGCTGTGTATGTGGGTCAATTGGAGTACTGAATTTGTGAGATTTCAACTTTGCATTGATAAAGAAGAATGAATGCATGGGCAGATGGAACATGAGGAGGTCATCTTGGATTTAGATCATTTGCCAGCATGCACTGCAGGGTTATAGAGCAGTTCATATGGTGAGTATGGGTATGGGCAAACAGCATATTGGTGGGCAGTTGGAATTGTTGGTATTGAATCTGATTACCATAGCCACAGTTTTTCCTCTTCTTGTGATCTTCTATTAGGGTTCTTGAAAATAATGGTGGTTTAGCTACAGCTTCAAATCCATCCTAATGATTTTTGTCTGAGAACTTCCACAGAACTTCTTTTTTTTTTGACCAACAGTTTATATTTTCCTTGGAAATTTCTAGTATAATGTTTTGGTGTGACTTTTTATATCGTGCGTGAATCAGTTTGGTCAGGTTTATATGTGAGTATATACATATGCATGTAATCATGCTAAAAGTTTTAGGGGTCAAAATCCACCCTTTTTCTAATTCTCCAGGGGAACCATCTGGAATCACCGAGTCAGGTTTCTTGAAGACAGAGTCCTGAGCTCTTGGACATCATTCACCATTTGGAATGCTGGCAAGCAAGGCAAGAAGCTCTACAGAAGCTTGTCACCAGCTAATCGGAAAAAGGTGACCTAGTCTGACTGGGTAACATCTGTACAAAAACACTTTCTTCTCTTTCTTATGCCTCCTTGCTTCTTCTAACATAATGTAGCAGAATTCTCGTAAGATGTTGTGTCCCCAATGTACTAGTTGATGATTAATATAAATTGGGGAAATTCTCAATATTCTGCATAATGTATTTCTTCTCTTAAAATGTTGTATTACTTTTTTTAGAGCATGTGATGTGTATGTAGTGCAACATATGCACCCATGTTCCTGCTTGCTCTTGACTAAGCATAGTAATACGTTAGACACGCTGTATAATTGTTTATGGCCTGCTACTGTGTAACTAACCATGTAGTAGCCAGGTACCCAAGCTGAGTAGAATAACTCTTTATTTGGATGGCATAATACTGAAGTACCTTGTCCAGGATTATTCATACATGTATAATATTTGCCCAGTTCCTGAGTGGATACCGGACAGGTCCCTATCGGATGCTGATCAACCTGGTTTGTATTATGAGGAGTAGTTGTACTGTAACTCCCGTTTGAAAAGCTTGATTGTTTAAAAATAAGGGTGGGATGTGGGGTAAACAGGTGAGTAGAAACTATTGTACATGACTATCTAATTCAATTTACAATCAATTGAAAGTGTGGAGGTTACTTATATTTGGCAATGGCAGACGTTTCTCAGGAGAGATTTGTCTGAGAGTTTAAATACCTTACTTTTATAGCATTTTCTTTTGTGTAATAACTTTTTGTTAGATAAAAGCTTTAGGGCTAATGTCAAATGGCTGTTTCTTATAAAGAGCCACAGAACATTCATTTTATTGCCAAATGTGTTTTCTTTTCTTAAAAATATGGATGGGAAGACAAAATGACAAATATATATAAACTTGATGAATGTTGTGGCCCTCAGACCACACACATATTAAAAAAAAAAAAAGAAGAAATTTGTATACCCATAGTTGAAATTACTGAATAGACATGGGAGACACTCATACAGTAAATACACAACACAAGAATTAAACCTGAATTTCCTGCCTGGTAGTCCAATGCCATCCCTCTTGCTATCACGTGGCAGTGGGTGAACTGAAGAAAGAAGATTAAATGCTATGTGTCTCCAGTTAGTTACTTCATTCAAAGAGGACTGTCCATTAAACTGTACTGAGTTATCTTGGTCACGCAGTGCAGTGTGCACAGGACTTTGGGGGGTTTATGAAAATGTTCTCTTTTGTTAGTATTTTGCAGAGCACTTTGTGAATTCCACTAACTTACTAGCAACCATTGCACTTTTCTGTCTGCAAAGTTATGAGAATTAGAAAATAACTTCCAAGGGAAGAGATGGCAGCTTGTCCGGTAGATTTTTGAGATATTACGGAAAAAATAGGCTATGCTGTTTTTGTAGCAGTGTCTCACTGTCTTAAATGTTGGGGGTTTTTAGGTTTTTTTTGTTTTCTAGCTTTTTTTTTTTGTGCCACGCCAAAATGGAGATTAAGATAGAACATGGAGATATTAAGATAGAACACCTCTCTAGCTTTGGGTTACGTTTGCCACCTACCTACTTCTGTAGGTGACTCATTCAGGACTTCACATCCTGTTCAGGCAACACAATGATAATTTGAAGATGTCACTACAGAGATCATAAAAACAGCAAGAGAAAAATAATACTGGTGGTTTTTTGCCATTTTTCTGCCAAAGAACCAAAGCTTACCTCTTCTTCAGTGAGGAAAACCTTCATTCCCCAGTATGCTAGCACTGATAGTGTGGTTCTAATTAAGTGGATCTTGACATTCTTTCCAGCTGACCTTTACATAACGTTTGCTTTGGCAGTGTTGCAGGCCATGATACTATTTTGCTTCTGTCAAGGTTACAATTGCACATATTCCAGTATGCTTTAGTTTGATATTGAAATATTGCATTGAGCTTTAACCCATTAATTACTGGATACTGTACCAGACACATTTAGCAAGCTTACATGACAGACGCAATTGCACATGCCAACTATGACTCATTTTGCAAATGTGCTGCAGAAAACTACTGCTAAAATGTCTGATCCTTAATACCTTATATAGAGTAATCTAACTTTATCCACTGAGTCCGACATGTTATCTGAAGTATTCAGACACTTTCTCAAAAAACAACAAAGATAAATACCTTCAGAAAGTGACTTGTATCATCCTAAGTGAGAGTAGAGGCCTAGCTTTTAGACAGCTAATTTCTGATGAAATTAGTGTTATCTGTAGTGATTAAAGCACTAGTTTTATGTAGTTGTTCAGGCTCATTATGATTGCCATTGTAACTTCCTAGCTTTTCCAAAAGTGAGATCCGAAGTCTATCCATCTCAGTAGAACTGAAGCTTAAATGATATCCTGATGTTTCATAGTAAGTCATTGGCAAAAGGCTGTAGAAGTAGTTAAAACATCTCACTTCCCCAAGTGCTAATCAAAGGATTATGCTGCTGGAGTTTCAGGAAATAAATTTGTAAAATTTGCAGTAGATAATTTATGGCAGTTTTCATTTATTCTAAATTAATAACAGTAAAAGAGTCTAGTTAAACTCCATGTTATACTTTTCCTCAAAAATCCTTCAGGTATTTTGTGACTAATCTTCAACTCTTGCCAAGGACTCTAAAATTACATATGAACAATGATTGTAAATAGTTGTTGCTTTGTCCTTTCTGGCCCTAAAAACCATAAAATACTTTTCCTGTCTCACAGTTTAAAGATTACCTTAACAAGATTTAAGCTTTCATATATTCTGTTAATTATGAGAACACTAGAGATTCAGTATCATTTTGAATCTAGAAGTAGAATTTAGTGTTGTCATGTAAATGGAGGCCCTGGGATATCAATTCATCAATTAGGTAAAACAGACACCTTTAAAATACAATTCCAAAAGCCCCTTAAGACAAAATATGATGTATTTCATCAATACAATTACCATTTTCTCCTCTGAAGGTCCAGTTGTGTAAAACGGTGTGATCTTAAAAGGTCTAATACCCTTTGAAATGCAGGTAAAATTGCCAAACTAATGTATAATTTAACTAAGCTGTATAATTTAACTGTCTAAATTTAATTTCGGTTAGTTTTATGCTTTAAGTCAGTTTAGACTCTTGAAAATTTCACCTATGCTCTGTTTCACTGTTGCTGCATCCTTTTATTGAGATTCAGAATTTCATTAGATGTCATGAGACTGATTTCGGTTGGAATGCGGAGTCACAGCAGGGTATTTTCTAAATTGGCACTAAGTACCTATAGAAAATTTGGGACACATACTGCTAGAATAAATAATACCCCCCCGCCCCAAAACCTATTACATACAGCTTGTATTATTTTGTAATTGTGAAAAAAAACTACACTAAATCTTCAGGAAGAGAATTAATTAGTTTGAACTGTCAAGTTTAGGCATGTACAAAAACATCTTGAACGTTTCTAGTATTTTTAGAACCTGATGAACAAAGCAATTGTATTTCTTATACTGACTAGGTTTTTGTGGGATGTTTGAAAAGTATAAGTATGTTGCATGCCAAACAGCATTGTTTCTTAGGAAACAAAGTTTTGGCAATTTCAGGAAGCAGCAGTCTGTGTATGTTCGTACTCACTAACAAATTATTACTTTAGTCTTTTTGGAAAACAGTCTGATTTTGAACTATGGCTATGTTAAAAGAGAAAAGGACACCTAAGCAATATTCTCTCTTTTCCTTCAGACATCTGTATGGTGAATATTAAAATAATGCTTTGTCTCCAAAGAGTTCAGGCAAAAATCCAAGGCTCAGTATTTTTGCTCAACAGCAACACAAGAAAAAAATTATTCAACTAGTAGGTTTTTTATGAATTAATTAACCAGGATCTCAGTATTCTTAGGGAAATTCTGTTTCCTGGCTGTCCCCTTCTTGATTCACGCAGTTGCCAGTGGTTCAGTATTAGCATTTCTGCAAGAATGAAGTCGAACAGACCTTTTTTGTTTAAAACACATCCGTCTTGTCTATAATTTGCAGCTGAAGATGGAAACCAAATGTTTTTGGGATGCTACATATGCCTGGAGGGTATCTGAGCTGTCTTGTCTGCTCTTTTATTCTCCATCAAACTTTACCTAAAAGGAGAACTTCAGCATTAACATTTTGTGTCATTTCCGATAGCTGAAAATAGTGCTCAAGTAGCTAACAGAAAAGGAGGGGGAAGGGATGAAATAAGCATCAGCTAATTAGTGGCATGGAAACAGTACTAGTACACAGCCAGCCCATGAAGTTTTCTCTATGACAACCCTATCCACCAGTGGCAAACTTGAAAGCCTCAAGAAAATATTTTGTACACCTTTTCCTAGCTTGTTAACCATTTAAAATCATCTGTTAGTTTCTCTTCACCTTTTCCTAAGAGCAACATCACTAAACCATGTTCTTCAACTATGGTCCTTCAGCTCACTCTCAAAAGCAAGAAATGTTTAAGTTTTGTAGCATTTTAACTACTCTAAAGTATGTGAGTGGCAGTATGAGAGACTGAAGTGGGAACATGTAAAAGCAAATAAACATAAATAAAAGGAAGAATATTAAACCCGTCTTGACTGTGGAGCAAAAGACAGAATGACAATGTGAAAGTGAGTTAAAGGAGAGCCTACAGAACAAGGAGAGGGATGAAATTTGAAAGCTTCAGTTAAATCCAGGTTTAAAGCATCCTAAAATGACACAGGCTAAAACAGAGGCTTCATTTTGGACTATCGCGAATATTTCATGCTGAAATATGGCAGGGAAATCTCCCTGCTACTTCCATTCAGGAAGATGTGCTTTTTGCAATGTCCGTTTTGTCAGTACAGAGGCATGCTCACTTGAAAAGTTACTGGCATAACTAACGTAGTTATCTGTTCTAGAGAAATGAGACACTTGCAACTAGTTCCCACACTGTTATGTATAAAGGCAGTTGTATGTTGTATGTAATAAGGGAAGTTTTGTATGTACAACATTTAGAAGCTTATCTTGCATGTTGCATTCTGCTATTAATATTCTGTTGAGCAACTTTGTTATGTATAGGTGCAAAGAG